TCTCCTCTCCCATTCCATTGAGTAGCGCCTTTTCCACTTTATCATTTCACTTTTTACCCTCATTTTGCACCCATATGTAGCCTTAGGTGATCACTTTTGGCTTTCAGATACGTGTTGTTGAAGGCAAGGAACCTCCAGCTTTTTGCAGTCTCTTCAATGGAAGAATGGGCATCTACGATGGGGATTGGCTTTCCGAGGTGACACCCTTGACCGCATTGTGCTTAACTAACAAATTTTTTAATGCTCTTCTTTTCTCTCTCCTAAATGATGATTGAGGTGTTCCTTTTTTTTGCCGGAGGCTTGACAATTTCAGGCCTCAAACCACAACTGTCACACATTTATTTGTTCACCTAAACTCTAACCGGTTTGGGGCACAAGGTGGCATACATTGACAAGGGACGCTTGTCATACACTTTGGGTGCGTAAAACTGTCAACTTAACCGTTAAGTGAAGTCTGTAAACATACTACCCGATGACGGGGAGCATAATTTCAAGTGATTCTTTCATGTCATACTTGAGGGTGAATCGCCATTCGTTTCTCGCACCAGAAACTACCAATTCGGATGTTTTTGATCCGGGGTGAGCGCGGAGCCGAGGCGCACCTCTGGCAGGTGCCAGCCGATCTCACCTCCCTCCGTGCGCAGGGTGTCTTCCTCATAGTCAGTAATGCTAACACCTACGACACAGAGGATCGTTGTTGGCTCTGGATCGGTTCTACTGCCTCTTCAATGAACATCACTGCAGCTCGTCATTTGATTGAACAGTTTCAGCGATGGTGAGTGTCTTCTCAGACAAAAAGTTGTCAGCCTGTGGGATGGACATCAATGTCATGCTTTGCTTCTATCCAGTTTACCATCAGAGCTTGGAGTGCAAATGATGGTTGTGGAGGAGGTGAGTGAGGCCAACTCCAACACCTCTCAAATGCAAAAGTGTTTGTGTGCTTTAAATGGCGGTACTCTCGTGCACACACCTTCATCAGCCATACAACATGGTGAGTAACAACAATGTTTCCTCCATCATTATTCCATCCAATTCTGTCATTCGTTTCTGTAGTTGACGTTCTGAGGTCTAAAAAAAGGCTTTTTTTGGGTTTTATTTACGTCAGATGTCTATAAATTTATTGCGTTAATGAGGCGACCTCATCAC